CATAAATTCATAATTGTTGCTTCAAATCTATTTTGAACATAGAATAACTCAAAAATCGAAGCAGATGGGTAAGCACAGCCAAGAAGAACAGGGGAATATGAGAACCAAAAAACAATTTCAAGGCATAAAATTGGAGATATTTTTCATTCAGTTTGCTTCATTCAAAATTAAACACACTAAAACAGAGAAATCGATACGCAATTCTAAGTGGAAAAAAAATGAGGAAAAATCGCGCACCGTTTTCTGTGCAGTCCTCTCACAGTTGGATTTATCGTCAGATTCAGAGAGCGAGAAGGACAGAGGCGTGGTAGGGCTGGCAGTGGCGCCGCCGCCGCCGCCGCTTTTCTCCTCCGCCGCGCCGATTCGCAGCGTAATCTCCTTGATTTCGCGTCCGGTTGCGTGAAAGGTCTCCGGACGAGGCGATGGCTCAGGGAACAGCGGTGGAGCCTCATCCAGGCAAGATCTCCTCTTCCGGCGGCCCCAATTGAAATTCGCGAGAGATTCGGTTAGGGAGACGAGGGATTTGAGATCGAGCAGGACTCCGGAGACGATGATTTCTTCATCGGTGGCAGAGGCTAGCGAGAAGCTCTGGCTACTTGTGGCTTTTCTCTCCTCCATTGTGTGAGTGTGTGTGTGTGTGCTATCTTCTGCTTTGATTCTATTTGTGATGAGGAGAAAATGGCAAACAGTTGGCTTTTTGTAGAGAGGGAGAGGGTTGGTTGAGGTGTCGAAGATGCCTAAATGGCAAATGGATTTTCTTTTTTTTTTTAATTTAAATATTTGCCTCTATTTTGTGTTATTTATTAAAAAGAAAAAAATTCATCGGCCGAGTCCAACGTCCCTTGAGAGGTCAATTCTGAGTTTTGATTTTATTCTAGATTGTCCGACTAGATATAGCCACGGGCCGGGCATGTAATCGGCCCATAGGTTGCCGATTTCGAGAACCATCACAGTGGCTTTACGAATTGTGTCTGTGCTCGATTTTTTAATTTTTGGTCCCGGCATGCCAGGATAGGGCCGGTTCACGCGCCGGTCCTTAATTTTTGTCGGGCTGGGCCCTTTAAGTTTGAGGTATCTTGGTCTGGATCTTGTTTCATGGTAATGCTTGATGACTAGAAAGTGTGTTGGATTGTGTTCGTTTATTAAGGCCACGAGAGAATTAAACAAAAAATTAAAGAGAGATGGAGAGAGGTTGTTATAATGGAATATGGGCTAATTTTGATTCTTAAAGCCAAGAGAGAGTGAGAGGTTGTTAATATAAGGCCAGAGGAGGACCTTCATGCTACAGTGGCAGTGTTTGTCACGACATCGGGTGACTGGTGGTGGACTAAATTTGAGGCGTTGTTGCCGGCCAACACATTGTTGCTCATCGCGGTTGTGCTACCCCCGTCACTTTCTTCACGACCTGATCGCATGATTTGGGGTTACACACCGAATGGCGTGTTCTCGACGCGGACGGCCTACGAAGTCTTGACAATGAGGGAAACGGACCATAACCGGCTGGTATGGAAAGCAATATGGCGCGCTCCGGTGGCCCAACGAGTGCGGCACTTTCTTTGGTTGGTAAAGAGGGACCGACTGTTTACGAATATGGAAAGGGTTCGTAGGCACATGGCTGAAGATGCCGCATGTGTTTTTTGTGGTCAACTCGAGTCGACGGTTCATGTGTTGGGGGACTGTGTCAAGGCGTGCAAGGTGTGGTTGAGGCTTGTTCCACGATCGTGCAAGCTGCGTTTCTTCTCACAGGATGTAAACGAGTGGATGTGGACAAATGTGGTGGAATACTTTGTTGTTGGGCTTGAGAATTGGGGTACCACTTTTCCAATCGTCTGTTGGCGGCTATGGGCTTGGAGAAATATGACCATATTTTTGAATAAAATCGTTCTCTTGAGGCGCAGCTGGCGGATATTCAAGGTAGAGTAGACCGGCAGATGAAAAACATGGATTGCGCAGCAACTTTGGGGGCCCGTGACCTTTGTTATGGAGAGGTAATGATTCACTGGTTGCCACCTCCAGGTGGGTGGATCAAAGTCAATACGGTGGAGCGCTGTGCCCGGCTTCTGGCCGAGGTAGTCAAGGGAGACTAGCTCGGGACTCATATGGTCGATGGCTAGGCGGGTTCCTCATGAATGTGGGAATTTGTTCTATAACGGGGGCAGAATTATGGGGCCTTTTTCACGGTCTTCGATTGGCTTGGGAATTGGGCGAGAGGAATGTTTTGGTAGAGGCGGATAATAGTAGTTTCGTGGATATGGTGCTTGGGGATGATGAGAATTTTGGTCTTCATGAAACATTATCCAAGCCATTCGCGAGTTACTCAAGCGGGATTGGAGTTTTCGTGTATCCCATATTTATCGGGAAGGGAATTTCTCGACGGACAAGTTAGCTTCGATTGCTGCTGATGCCCCAGTTGGGTTTCATCCCGCCACCTGACCTTGGTCATTGGTTGAGCTATGATATTGTGGGGGTGGCTCGTCCACGTCGTGTGTTGAACTAGCGAGCGTCAGGCTTCGACCTCCTTTATTGTACCAAAAAAAAATATGAAAGGAACGATAAGAAAAATTGAACTTCACATTAATTAAAGATAATATTTATTTATTTATTATATTGTGTTTCCTTAAATATGTAACATATAATTAATTATTGAAAGGAAATATAATTTCTTTTATCTTAATTTATCACATCCTAGTTATTTTCTTATTACGTATTTTGAATTAATTGGTTTCCTTTAGCTTGTAAGAAAAAAAATAACTTATAAAATTTAATAAATTTAATATTTTTCAGCTAATTAATTAGACATGATCCCTCAAAATTACAAAAAATTCATTGTTTATTAAATTTTATGCAATGTATGTGGTGATTTGTATGCGATCAAATCGTTATGTACTATTTATCTTAACAAATGATAAAATTTTAAAAAATAATACTATTATCTAACTTATAGTTTTAATATTATATTCGTAAACATAACTTATAATACTATATTATATAATACTATTATCTAACTTATAGTTTTAATATTATATTCATAAACATAACTTATAATACTCTACTTATATAATACGATTATCTAACTTATTATTTAGACATTATAGTATTATATAACTTATAATTTTTAAATATTATATACATATAAATAACTTATAATATTTATCTAAATGTTTGCAAATGCACATAGTCGAATACTAGTATTAAGTAAAACTAACAGATATTGTTGACTAGTTAAATAAATTAAAAATATTTTCACTTTTTATTTTTATTTTTGCTACTACCAAAATCTATAACCATTGAATCCAATCTATATATATATAAAATGAATTACCATTTTTCAAAAATGGCAATTCAAGTTTTAGTCAAACCTTGTCTTCATTAATTGTTTTCCATTAATGGCAATTTTTCTTTTTTACTTTAGCAAAAATGGACAATCATTAATTGATGTCCTTAAAATGTGGAAGTTGTTGCTTTATTTTTGTATAGAAAATCAAGCTTTATCATAGGAATTTGTTCAATTACTCTATGAGTTTGTTGTGATATAATTATTTTTTACGGAAACATTTTTTTTCTTAACAGAAAATATGGCATTTCAATGAGATTTTTTTTTTCCAGTTCACGTGTTTCCCTTAAATATGACAAAACAAAATCATGAAACAATAAATAACATTTGTTTAAAACACAAATTTGGATATATAAAATAAACAATATCAAATGCAATAAATGTGATACATAACAAATAGAATGCAAATCAATTTATACATATTATGTCACCACACTAATCACGATTGGTACTAATCAATCTATACATATCATGTCATCCAATGAAATCTTTCATATTTATATCTACTAGTACGTATCCCGTGCATCTTTTGGTAAAATTTATAATTGAAGGCTATTAATCAATATGTTATAATATATAGAATATTTGTTAGGTAATCGTAAAATGATATCATGAAAAAATCATACATTATTAAAAAAGCTCTTTGTTTTTCCATTCAAAATTATTTTTCATTTGGTAACCGTAAATCGATATTTACCAAGATTGCTCTCTACTTGGTAATTGTGAATTGCATAGACACCTCATTCCTTCATTTTTCTATTAATTTTCGCAATATTACCACCATGAAATAAAACTATAGTGAAAATATGTAATATTGTGATAGATACTAAGGATGTGATTATCTGATGAAGTTTAATTTTATATCGAGCATAAGGAAAATTTTTACAAAAAAGTTAAAGTGTAGATTTTGAGTATATATCTTTTTTTTTTTTGTCAATCATTCTCATTTTTATGCCAAATTCATCCAAAAATTGAGAACGATTTTATTTTTGTTATGTTTTAACATTGGAATTTTGGTTGTATCTTTTGTAAAACATGTTTATAAAAATAATTACGTTTTAAAAAAAAACAACAACGATGTTCTATCATTTGTAGATAAAAAATAACTAAATGAATCGGAGGACATGTAAATCATGTTTTTTAAATGAAAAATATGTTTCATAAAAAAAGTGATAAGAAAATGATTCAAGATGATAAAAAGAAAATCATATATTACAACAAAAAGATGTTTACATGAGTAGTGGATCAGTGAATCGAAATTGTGGCAATTTTAAAAAAACATGACCATGATTGAAATGAAATCTTTAGAATATTTTTTACTTTTAGTTAAGTTGCATATATTGCATAACTATATATGAAAAAAATAAAATATTTAAAGTTCAAACAGGAGATTTGTTTATATGTATATAATAAGGTGTACAGTCCAGATAATTCAATTTTATTTTAGCATTTATATTACTAATATTGATACCGTGATTATTGTAAAGTCCAACTCTCATTTTTACGGTAAATTTATATTATATTAAAATGAATTTATAAGTCTAAAAAGAGATATGGATTGAATTAAAAAGATTGAATCGTGGTTAAATATCTTGATATCATAATTATACTGTTTTTGAAAAGATATTCCATAACATTTGGTTCTATAATAATATTGCTAAATATAAGTGATTTCAAATAGCTTGATTTAGTGTTTAATCAAATATTATGGAATATTTTTTTAAAATATCTAATTATTAATTTTTTTTGTTTCTTATTTATTATTTATTTTTGCCAATTGACAATATTATGTTTGATCACATTGTGCACGCAGATAATTTTTTAGAAGTAAAGTTGTGAAGTTAACAAATATCTTATGTGGTTCACAATCCATATAAACAATTGACATTTGATAAATTTATGTGATAACAACATTTATACATTGTAAATGCTCTTATTTTGTTTTAAATAATTTCAAATATACTTTTATCCAGTGTTTTAAATACCGTACCGGTGGCCATACCGGTCTAGCCACCGGTACGCGGTATTACCGGTCGGACCGGTAATATCGGCAGTATTACCGGATTAGCAAATATAATTATATATATAAATATACATAAAAATATATAATGCGAAATGCAAAAAAGTAAAAATATAAATGACCATAATCATTAATTTCAACTTCTCAATAAGATGAAAATAAAATATTTTAACTACCAATTTAAATTTTATTATTTTAAATAAAAAAAAAATAATTTTTTTTATTGGCCGGTATTTTAGACCGTTACTTTACAGTTTTTACGGTATGATCCCGGTACAAACCGGTATAACTGTAAATCCGGTATTGTGAGTGTAATTGCACCATACCAATGGTCGTTATCAGGTATTACCGGCCGGTAAGGTACGGTATTTAAAACATTGCTTTTATCCATTCCAAATAAAATTCATACTATTTAAATTCAAACATTTCGTACCAAAAATAAATCACCCATTTTATACCACAAAATCGGACATTTATTATTAACAACACATTTTGTATGAAAAAATAAAAATGATTATCATATACTTAAAATAAAATCTTCAACTTTATAACAAAATTGGATTTATTAATTTTATCAACTTTATACCATAAATTTATTAAGTATTTTCTAAATATCACTTCTACATTTTGTCCAAAATATTTTTTAGCGGCACATAAATGTTATTTATATTTTTGTATTTGGTTATCTTGTCTACAAAGAAAAAGATAATCTTGCAACTTTACTATGCCAACAAAAAGATGTATGAAAAATAATATAAGTATTAATTTATTATGTTTTACTCAATACAAGAAATATAATATAGATATCTATAATTGCTCAATCAAGTCTATATATTTAAAGAATTTCGTATATTTCTATAATACCCATATATTTGTTTCCATAAACTAAATCATCCTAAATTTACATTCAACTAATAAAGGTAATATCCATAAATATTTGACTAAAAAGATTATGTACATTAATTACATTGATTTTTGTTAATTTACTATTTTTAGATAATAATTAATAAAATTGGCGGAAAAGTATTTCTAAAAGTGAATTATGTTAATCCTTATTATATATTAATAGATAACTATGTCTATATCTATATGAATAGATAACTTATTTACAAAAAATAGTAACAAAAAAAGTCAACCAGTATTTATTGCATTTTATTTTTGGTAGTTTTGAATTTTTTTAAAATCTATATATATAAAAAAAGAATTACAATTTTTTAAAAATAGTAGGTCAAATTCTGGTCAAATCTCAATTAGCATTAATTACATTCCATACTTAGTAACTTTTTTTTTCAAAAAAATCAGCATTAAACGCTACCCTAAAATTATAGGTATTTGTTACTTTTCTTTCAAAAAATCGTGTTACCTTAAAGAAACAATATTACATACCATAAATTCTTGGCTA